TGGTCTAGTCTGAGCGCCATAAGACAGGCTCCAAAAATCACCGGCTCCTTTGGTGGCTTCACGTAAAGAAACAGTGACAGTGAGTATTAAAGACGACAAGTTTCCAGTTGTATTTAGGCCTGAGTTCGTCGCCGAAAGTGTGATGTACGAAAAATCCGCAGTTCCTTCTGTGGAATTTTCACGACCACAGTCCACGATTGAAATTATTGAGGATGAAAAGTCACACCCATAAGATAAGAACGTTGGGCGCCGCATCGATTAGTCGATTACTGTGCCGTTAGGCCTTGCTACTGTACAAATGAATGAGACTTTAAAAATTTATTCGCTCATCTATAAGGAGCTTGCTCGTAAAACGTTTCAGTGTCTACAAAGTGCCCATGATAAATAAGCGAAATAAAGTATTTCGAGACGGCCAGATCTTTATTCCTCTTCGAGTAAGGCCGGAAGTTGTGAAGTGCCACTCACCGACTCTAACCAGCATACGTAAGAAAGGCCTTAGCTTCTGAAAGGGAAGCCCTACTAGACTCTGGGAGGGAGACCTACCTTCATAAACCCGTGTGAAGATCAAGCTATCGAAAACGAGCTAAAAAAGCAGTGAGTTTTTATGTAGAAATCTGAAACAAGCTGGAGTACATAAATATGTGACACCCGAGCAGAGTCCCTGCTGCTAGAGTCTAGTATTAATTCAACAAAGGAATCCGTAAGTGAATTGAGACAGGAATCAAAATCAACTAAACAGCGATGGAGTAAATGCAAGTGAGCCAAGTTAAATGACTCCAGAAAGAGAGCAAACGAAAAGTCAAACCGAAGGATAAAACTTCTGAGAGCGCAAAATGAATATATGTAAAGAGCATTGAGTGCGTGACCTCGTGACGGCAAGTAAACCAGTGAATATAGACAAAGTGCAAAAGAAAACCCAGCGCATTCAAAAGAGAGGAACTACGTAAGAAGTTGGCTCAATCCATGCGGAAAAAACCAGAGGTCTCAAGGAATTAAATATTCATTGCCTGAGCTATTCTTTAGATGACTTCGGAGTTTGCGCTTATGTGCGGTTACCTAGCCGTTACAACAACAACAACAGCCATTTCTGGCATTAGTTAACAGTTTGACAATAGAAGTCACTTAACTTGAGGTTTATCTACTTGCTCACTGTCGAATGGCATTGAGCCCTACACGTACCGACACTGGGATGAACTGGACTTTGGTCAAATGCTTTTGAATCGAAGGTGTTTGCAACCTTACAAAGACCAACACTGGAATGAAGACAACATCTCAAAAGGACCGAGATAAAGTCGAATTTGGACGCATGATAGTGAATCGAGATTGCTTTAAACGTTTAAGGACCCACTGGAATGAAGTCACAGAGGGGGAGTATTCTGAGGCGTACAAAGTGAGATGGAGTCGAATCGACGATGCTTTGAACCTCACAACGACTGACTCTGGGTTGAAGTTGACTTGGACCGAGTGATATTGAATTGCGTATATTTTGAACCTTACAAAAACCGTCACCGGAATGAATTCGAGTGATACGAAAACGAAAGTGCTTTGAGTCTTGCAGGGACCGGCACAGAGATAAGGTTGACTTGGGTCGAGCGATACTGAAATGAAGAAGCTTTGAACCTTACAACGACTGACTATGGAATGAAGTAGACTTTGACTGAATTATATTGAATCGAGGGTTCCCAGTTCCGACACTTAAATGAAGTTAACTTTGGCCAAAACAAAATTGAATCGAGAATCTTTTGAACCTTAGAAGCACCAACATTGTCTCGAATTAAAGAGTCGGCTCTCACAGTAGCAGTTTACTGTGGATCTTATCTGCTACTTCACAACTTGGAAATCCCATCCCACTTCTAGGAAGCATTCAGAGCTTTTCATTGCCGAAGAGCTCTGTTGTTTATGGCTCTGAAGTCCTTTGGCTGCAATGTCCATTCACTCTCTGTTAATCTCTAAGCGAGAAATTTTTCTCTCTAATAATTACTTTGCTCTCTGCATACACCGCATACATAATGACACACATATGCACATAGTTTCTGCCAAATAAAAACTTTTATTGTATTTATTCATAAATTAGAGACAAGTACACTTCCAAGCAATTTCACGCCTACTACATTAGAAGCGACGACATAGTACATACATACATACACACATAACTACGAATATGTATGAGGCTTATTAGAGACACTGCTCAAGCCAGGTCGAGCTAAGCCATGTGATGGCAAGCCAAGTCACGCCAGCACGATTACCACTTGGCTGCGTTCGCCGCAACACCCACTGGCAAATTCAGTCTTATATGCTCATATATATATGTATGTATGTACTTGAATTCATGTACCGCTATGTTCGGTATATTTTCTATGCGCCTTTTCTGTTTCTTGAACTCTCATATTCATAAGCTTCTCTGTGGAGTGGAGGTAGTTTGTATTCATAAGCTGCTTTTGTGCTTTGTTATAAAAAATTTTTTACAACAACAACAACTGAGGTGCAGTGCTGCAGCTGCTGTTGTTGCTTTTGTAACTGTCTTAGTGTTTTTGTTGTACTCATTTGCGGATCTGTTTGGCTGTCTGTCTGTCTGTCTGTCTTCTGTCTTCTGTTTTGTGGTTTCTTTTTTCACGTTTTTTGCACTTTCGCTTTGTTGTTATTGTTGTGGTTTTCTCTAAGTTAGCCTACTTCAGTGCCTTTCAAAAACAAAAACAAAAAAGAACACAAAAACAACAACACTAATCAGTTTGAAAGGCGTAGACTACACACAAACATACATACATACATACACACATACATACATGCATACATACATACATACATTCGTACATACACACATACTCACATACAAAAAAGACACTCTTTAAAAAAGACATAGACATTGAGGTTCTTTCAAGTGCACCCAATGGATCTTATCTGCCTAATACAAAAACAACAACAAAAGAAAAAAGAAAACAACAACAACAACAACAAAAGTGAAAAAAGCACGAATATGCAAATATGACAACAACAAAAGAAACAAAAACAAAAACAAAAAAATATAATGTAATGCTCATATTAATATGCCCAAGATACGGTTTTGCTGCATGCCTGCTGGGTCTGTGTGGTCTCCACATATGTACCTACATACATACGTACGTAGTACTCCCATATGCAGCGCTCCCTCACCCTTTCGATTTCTTTTAAGATTTCTAATTAGCTGCACTTGCACTTATGGTCATACTTGCCCCTCACGGATCTCCTCTCTTACCCTCCCCCCCCCCAGTACTGACTTTAGATGTCAGTCAGTTCATCAGCATTGTTGCAAATTTTGCCATTCCAAGTGGCGTGGCATTGCGTGGCGTAGTGTGTCTAACGGAGAAGAGAGCGGAGGTGGCGGCTTGACTACTGGAAATTAGTATGCTTGAGCAATGTCAGTGAGTGTAGAGCTAATATATTTAGTACAACAGTGGGTAGGTGTAGCCAACTTTTAGATCAAAAAGTTAATATTTCTATGAAGAGGAGGACAGTTCTGTGGTCTGCGAACAACAAAATATTATAGTAAACGAATCTGCAGAGATCTGAACTCAAAAAAAGTGGATACTCGTTGTAGCAAATGGACTATACGAGTGTGGATCTTCCCGGGAGGACTCTCTTATTGTGTATGCGAGATCAAGGGGCATCATGCCACTCACGAGTTGTGTTTGCAGACCAGAGCACATCCGAAATGGTACCAGCTAGCGCACAAAGTACATCAGAAGAATGTTGTATTTCGACGCACTCTGATGCGATGTGCGGCAGCACAGAACAGGCGACGTAGGGTGCTGGGATCTGTTGAGTAGTCCTCATAAGGAAGGTAGAGCTGAGCTGAATTTGGTTGGTGGCTCGGTTGTTGGAGAGTAGTGAGAGTCATGCTGTGGGGAGCCCGTTGGATCATGAAGGTCCGACGTGGATTACCCATAACTCATAATGGTGCCAGAAACAAGGTCGTAGACGCTTAAAACGCTGAGCTTACGGTCTGAGTAGGTTTTAAGATAACTCCAACCATTGCCCAAATTTCATTTAAGCGAGTTAAAATTGTTCATGGCATAAGCAGCAGGAAAAATTATGTCGAACAGAACCGATTAGAAGGACTTTGGAGGAACACCGCTATGAAGCCGTTACGCTTTTGATACATACCTGTTGTTCTAAATGGAGTGAGCAGGGACAATCCTGTGCTACACAGAACCGGCTGTGGTGGTAGCCCTAGGCTCGGAATCTGTAATTTAAACTCAACTAGTACCTATCAAAACACGACCCCGATATACGCGACCTACATGCATATGCCATGAGGCCCCGCACGACATCCTCCATCTCTTTGCTGGTCCATTAAAACGAACTCATCGAAGATCTCTTTCCTCTAGTCGGATCCAGTCGAATTAGTTGGTTGCTTGGGTTACCCTTTAGATGATCTCGATTACATAGACTGGCTAATACCTGCTAAGCAAATTACTTAGCCGTTACAATAACAATAACAACAACAATAACAACAACAACAATGTCATGGTATAGAGTCTAAGAATTTAGCCTCGACTAAAGTCCAAAAGTTTGCACTGAGGAGCCCGGTACTTACACCGGAGTCGGGTTTCTATCCGACCAAGAGCTGTTACCTTCCCGTTACATTCCTCGAAACCAAATGCCGTGACTGATTTTACGGTTTCAACTACTCTCATCTTCAGTTACAGCAGGATTACATGGGCTCCGTATACCAGCTCCCAAATCAACTAGAGAAGACAACAAACTCTGAATACCAATCATACATAATTCACACACGACTTCTTACAAACCCACGGCAGCTGCTCTCGATCAAACACTACCTCTTACAGAAGTGAAGTTCGAGTGGCCTCGAAAATCTTTAAATTTGCTCAGTAGGCTTTCTTACAGTCCGACCTCAGTTGATACTACTTAAGGCTAATTAAAAAATTGTAGAATTCAGATATCTTAAGATCCCTAACCTCTACAAAATTTGCAAAAATCTCTTTTAAAACTTCACCACTCACCCGCAAATTGGCTGCCAAAATGCTGTTGAAAATGCCCACGAAACTCATGTGGCGTACTAAAGCCCGGCGGCAAAAAGCCACGCAAGTACGCCGCCGCCGCCAACGTTGTCATATGATGATGATGTGCAGCATTCAATTGGCCCGCATGATCCGCATAACCGGCTGCGGCGTAAAAGTTCGCCGGATTAAAGATGGGCAGTTGACAGTGTGCGGTGGCGGCCGCAGCTGCAGCTGCCGCTGAGAGACGCGTCACATCGGGTGAAATGGAGCGGGAGTCGCGTGTTGGACGACCGTGTGAAGAGGCAGGCGAGAGTGGTGCATTTGTGCATTCGTTAGCGGTGGGTGTAGCGGCGGGTGGTGGTGGTGAACAGTTTGAAGTTGTGCTGTTATGACGCTGCTGCGGTGGTTGCTGCAACTGTGATTGCTGTGTTGTTTGTGAAGTAGGTGATTGTTGTTGAGTAGGTGATTGTTGTTGCTGTTGTTGTTGTTGTTGTTGCTGTTGCAGTTGAAGTGGCTGCTGCTGCTGCTGACTATGTTGCAGTGTCGATTGTTGCTGCTGCTGTTGTTGTTGTTGTTGCTGCTGGCTAAGTTGTTGCGCCTGCTGCTGATAGTTGACAGCCGCTGCCGCCGCAGCCGAGCCTACACCCAAGCCGAGTATTTCTTGGATGGCGAAGGGTGTGCGCATCTTCGTTGCTTGCATTTTTGCCGTCGGCAAATTTGTTGCGCGTGTAATTCTTACGGTATGGTGTGGTGTAATGTGATTTGTTGTTGTTTTGGCGTATTTTTGTGGCACTTTTATGTTTTTTTCCCACTTTTTTTTTTTTAAATTGAGAGTTTTTTTTGCTTTTCTACTTTTTCTTGGGTTCAGAGTTTATTGCAATCTTTTGGTTTTCATTTTTGTTTTCAAATTGCACGAGGGAACTGGAGAGGGAAAAATTTGGAATAAATTGTTAAAATATTTTACTGCATGTTTTTACGTCATATTTTAAATTTTTATACTATTTTTTATAATAAATTTTTAATTTTTAATTTTTTTTTTATTTCTTTTTGCGTAATTTTTTTATTTAATTTTGTTTAATTTAAATTAAACTAACTTAAAGCTTATTAATAAAAAAAAATTCAGTAAAAAGTGGCACAGATATCATATTAAATTTTTGTTATTGATTTAAATACTTTATTTCAATCCGTATTTAATTGATATTTTTAGGCCTTTATTATTGTTTGTTAATTTATTTATTTATTTTTAATTATTCTTATTATTTATTTGTTGCTTTGCTAGTGTATTAAAATTGTTTTTTTTTTTTTTAAATATATTTCTTATTTTTATTTTATATCAATTGTTGCTGGTTTTTATCGAAGTTTTTTTTTTTAATTTTTTAAAAGTATTTTTACTTTTCAATAAATATGAGACCTAATGGACCAGCTGAATTCTGATTTTCTGTATTGTGTAAGACTATAATAATAATTTTTTTGATGCTGCTATCTTTAATTAATGTTTTTATTATATAAGAATATTTTATCAATATTAATAGTTGGAATGAAATTCTCACTAATAAAAAACTGATTTAATCGAAAAAATTCGAAACATATTTTTTTTATATATTTTTATAAATTTATCCTTCATTTTTAATTAGATGATTTAAAGAAAAAAAATAATTCTATATATAACAACCAATTTAATTTACATATTTATTGTCATGTATTAGTGCATAACGAAAAACAATTGAATTGAATTTATAAATCTGCCCTAAACTGACTTTTTAGCGCAATAATTCATAACAATAAATTCATAACTAAATTTTTTGCATAAGTTCAACAGAAATTTTTATTTAAACCATTTCATTTAAATTGGTACACTAGCGTACAAAAATAAATATCATAATAAATGATGCAAAAGATAAATAATTACTTTTTAATTATATTTTTTTAAATATGTTTTCTTTGAAATTTAATACATTTTCCAAACATTTTCTATAAAAGTTAAAAAAGTAAACAATTTTATGAGTAGACAAAAATGAATGAAAAATAAAAACAAATAAATTGTGTAAAAAATAAATATAATGCCTTCACGGCAACAAAATTCAATTTTTTTAAAACATTTATAAACAAATTTAAAATCAATATTTGAAGAGAAATTAAATTTGTTTAGTCAAACAATTTTTATACAGTACACAAATTTGAACTTGGGTTTCATAAATATATAAAATTTAAGAATAAAAAAGCCTTTAAAATCCACATAACTCGTTATTTAATAAATAAATTTAGTTAGGTTTTTAATGTAAAACCAAAAATTTCCATTTAGAAAAAAAATTTAAAATATTTTTAAAACTTTGTTTGGAAAAATCTTCTAAGCACATAAAAGCGTGCTAAATAAATTCCAGCGTTTCCTAGAGCTTTTAATACATATGCACTTTTATATATTTTTTTATCGCTTTATTTAAATTATTTAATTGTCATAACAATCGAAAATCGTTGAATACATTTTTTTATTAAATTACTTTATTTTTAAATTCATTTCGCTGTTATTACTGTTATTGCTTTAATTTTCTTTTCACTTGCTTATGACAAATTGGTTTGTTATTAGTTCACTTATTTAAAAATGTAAGGCATTAATGTGTATTGTTTAATTGCGAATTTCCAGCATTTTATTCATTTTAGTTTTTTAAGTGCTAAAATTGAATTTAATATTTTTATGCATTTATTTTAATATTTTCTTTTTTTGTATAGCAGTCATTTGTTATTTTAAGGCCAAAGTATGTTTATATATTTCTATAATTTGCTTATAAATGTTTCACTACTATGTTTATTGTATTCAAAAGTTGAGCTAAAATTGTCTTTGTCTTCTTTCATATTTCTTACATGGGCGGAATGTTCCACATTTATTTTAATTTAATTTAAAATAGTTTATTTTTTTCTTCACTTTGTTTTATGATTTTACTTTATTTTTATTAAATAAATTTATTTACTTTTATATTAATTTAATTTAAAATAGTTTATTTTATTTTACTTAAATTTGTTTTATGATTCTCTTTTATATTTTTAATTCATTTAATTAATTTGTTTTTTGTTTTTTATTCATTCTGTAGTTTTTATTCAAAATTGGCACTTTGTTACAGTTGAAGCGATTTTGTGGTCAAGCTTCTCATCGAATTTGTTGTAGGCGTCTTGATGTTTGACCTACAGTTTATGCTAAGCCGCCTCTGAACGGCTGATGGTTTTTTTACGAGGAGCCTTTATTTTATGTCAGAAATACACTCTGAGAGGTTGACATTCTCTGCCGAGGAGCGACCGCAATTATAAAAATTAACTGAATTTTTTTTTTATTAAAATTGAATATTTACAATTATTATTTTTTGATGCTGGTCAATTCAGCACTCGTATCGTTACTCGGATATCTGAGCCGCCGATTTTATTATATATATTTTTAATTCAAATATTTTGTTTTTTTGTTTTATGATAGATCAACATATTTCATCTAATTTATTGTTTCTTTTTGTTTTATTTTTTTAAAATTATTTATATTTTATTCTCTCTACAAATAAATTTTAATTTTATTTAATTTAATTTTATATTTATATTTCATATAGATCATTTTTTTTTATTTATTTTTTATTATTTCATTCTCTATATATTTTCTGTTCAATTATATTTAGTTCTTTTATTTATTATATTTTATATTTATATTTCATTTACATTCCTTTTTAATTCAATTTCAATTTATATTTTAATTTATTTTTATTTTTCGATTAATTTTGTTTCATATTTATTGACAATTATTTAGAGGGCAAAGCTTTATCTTTGGTTTAAAAACAATTTTAAGAATAGTTTTACATATTTACATATACAGACATACATAAATTAATTTGATTTAAATTTAACTTAGTTAGATATCTAATTATATATATTTTTATATATTTTATTGAGTAATATAGATATTCCAATTAAAATTATCATCGTATAAAGCAAATCTACGGTTTTATCATATAAAGTGTTTTTTTAAATTTTATTACTTTTCTCATTTATTAAATATTTTCTACTAATTTTTATTATTTATTTTGCAGTATATATTTCTTTATCATTAAGGTAGGTTTATAACTTTTTTTTTAATATTTTTTATTATTTTATTTATTCATTACTTATTTTTATTATTTAAGTTGTTAAAAGTGTAATATTTTCTTTTTCTATAATATCTTTTTTATTTATTTTTTTTTCATTTTATATACAATATTTCATATTCTTATTGCTTATTCTTAATTTTTATATTGAAAATAAATTTCTTCTTTTTTTATATTTGTATGTAGTTCATAGTTTTATTAACTTATTATTTAATTAATATTTTGCGCTTGTCTTTTTTGTTAATTTTACTGTAATTTCACTTGAATAACCTATACCTCAAGCGTGTATTTTCACTACCAGTCACTTAATCCTTTTCAGCATTACAAATTCCGTCTTTTAATTTCTTCTCCTTACACAATTACTAATTCACTTGTCTTTGCCAGTTACACTTAATAGTTATGAGTAGAAAGAAAGAACGTATTGTAATTGCCTCTTTCTATATACACACATATGTATGTATGTGTATGTATTGCATTCTTGTTTCACTGTTTATTTCATCTTCATCACACTAGGTGCGCGTCACACGTGCGTTGTGGTTGGTGTCTTTTTCCAACTGCGACAGCGACGGCTGTTGGTTGCCTCAACGCCACACAACACAACACAAGTTGCGGATTACACGACAATTTAATAACGTGTACACAGCCAAGTACCAAACGGAACTGAGCGGAGGCTGACTGACATATGTACGAGTATGCCAACAAGGAGCAGCAGCACTTGCTACTGCTTGTATAGCAAGAACAACAATAACAGCGATTGCCATGTGTTAGAACGAATGCGTTGCTTAGTTGACTAAAGGCTGAATGCGCCATCTTTTTGCTGCCAGCGAAATGTGGCAGCACAAAGGTGATAGCCTCTGCACAGAGCATGTTGTTTCGCTTACACACAAGCGTATAGCGCTTCCAATTTGAGGAGTAATATTTCCAAATTCTTTTAATTTCCCAATTGCTTTGTTGGAATATTCCATTATGTGTTGGCTATCGCATTCGTTCGCTCTTACTATTGTTATTGCGTACTCCCTCACGCCTTGGAAGGTCACTACGCGTTACACGTACACTATACGTGTACGCATACGCCATTGTGGGTGTGTTTGGATTATGTTATGTGCGTGCTAACTTTCAGGCTGATTTGATTTTGCGTTTTGTTTGCGTTTAATTACTGACCGAAAAGTCGCTGCCAGGATATGGCAGGCCACTGCCACTGTCACCGTCACCGTCACCTTCGTCGTCACCTTCGTCGTCGACACCGTCGCAACTGGTGTGTTGTCTGTGTCGTGCAGCAATTTCTTATAAGCTTAACAAAGCAACAGCAATAGCAACAACAACAGCGGCGTGTACAAGTGTTGTACGAATGGTTGAAATGTAGAAATGATTTTTCGTAGAGTGGAAAATTAACTTATCGCTGTAGCAGTAGTAGTGGCGTAGTAGCTTTTTGTGGTTCACATCAAGTGTAAATGTTGTATTTATTTTTGTTTTTGTTTTAAAGCCAAGATTGGGTGTTGTATGTATGTATGTATATTCTTTGTTATTCTTATTATTGCTGTAAAATTTTTACTGCTGTCGTTGTTGTTATTAAAATACACACAATAATTTTTGTTGATGATTTTAGTTACATGCCGAGAGCGCCAGAGCTTTTATATACTCACATACATAATATCTATGTATAGTATGTATTTAGCGCAAGAA